GCGCGCATCCAATACAACCCTAATTTCAGATATGCACTGGCACCTTGTACTATGTTGTCTTTTATGATGGCTATCAATACCAAAAATAGACGTCTGACACAGGCCTGCACCCATCAAGGACATAGACAATAGTCTCCATGTGCTCATGGTTGTTTTTTCTTTCACTTTACTTCGGTACTTTGGTGTGTGTGTGCGATGCCACCTTAACAGCGACACAGTTACAATCTACGGTATGTGCAAGCTTTCGTGTCCACGAGTGTCAGTGATCCCTCGTCGTTCGATCACTTCGAGCTACAATCCTTCAGACAACGGGGTCAACGCATCGTGTGCATAGTACTCAGCCTACAACATGTGATGGTTTGGATTCATGAAACTATGCCTTTTATCTCGTGCCTCTGTTTTGTCTTGTGCCACTGCCACTGTCTCGTGCAACTGTCTTTTTTCTTTTCTCTTCCTCGTGACAATGTGCACTTCCGAATTCTTTTACTGCAGGGCCTGGTCCCACAAGCCCATGCTGGCTTTGACCGGACCCGTAATTCCATTGTTGATTCTACATGTGTGAATAAATGTATTATTATTATTATTATTTAGATCTTTTTCAAACACTATCAATGCCAACTTTTCAGTCCCTATTTCTGGAAACAGTTGTGCTCAATCACCACTGGAAAGACGATTTTAAATCTCCACGCCCCATCCCACGAAACTTGCGGAAAGCTTCAAGATTCCTCACTCCGATATGTTATACCCGCTACGGCAAAAATATGCGTTCGTACTACGTCCCTCAGATTTTTAACCTATTGCCCCCAAGCCTTTCAGAGATTACTTCCAAAAAGAAACTCAAAAAGGCACTCCGGACACTTTCCATCGATGAAGAGGCCTTATAATATCTCATTTTTGGTTTCTTCATAATTGGTGCTGCTTCCTTACATGAATCTTTTTTCGAGTCAACATTTTTTTGTGTAGTGTAATGCAGTAATGTCTGTGTATTTGTGTGTGCGCGTATCTGCGTGTGTGTGCATGTGTATGACTCCTTCTATCATCAAGTTCTTATACGATACGACTGGAACTTAGCCATACCTCTTTTTTTTTCCTTCTACTAGAAAAATAGCTTATATTTGTATTGTATATTTTTTCCTTGACTCTGACAATAACTTTCTGACTGACATTTTTGTGTAGTTTTCACAACTGAAGAAACCATGTGGTGTTTTTCTGCTTTATTTTATTATTTACCAAAACTCTCTTATTTACCACTGCTACTTAGGTTCAGTCCTACAAGCCCCTGCTGGCTTCGACGAACCTGCCTAGTGCCGCCCTGAATACATCCTGCGTAAATAAATTTATTTATTATTATTATTATTATTATTATTATTATTATTATTATTATTATTAACTATACAGGGCGGCCTATTAAATTGGTCTGATCAGTTTGCATGTTCAACTCGAACGGGTAATCGCTCTTGAGGAAAAGATAGCATGACAATAAGCTAGTGACAAGACCCCTCTTTGAGTGTTTCATATTTTTTAAAAGTTTGGTCCCTACTTAATTTTTGCTGGTCATATGTTCTCCTTTTTTTAAATGGGAATATTGCAACATTGTTGGCATTTGGTTTACACCTCTTGTATTATAGTTTTTTATTAGATTAAATTCAACTTACTAGTTTTCTACTTGTATAAACAGCAATAAAAATATATTCCTGCGTTTACTCAATCTGCCCTTATATGTGCTTGTATCTTTGATGATTGGAAAGAAAAAACGAAGGTTGTCGTGAAATCAGTCATTTGATTACATTTTGTATGTATCTTATTACCGGACTCCCAGTGAAAAGCCAAATGGCAAAAAATTATAAAATATTTGGTTGTACAATAACAAGTATGCTCACGTACTGATGGAACGAAAACGCGTATTTTTAGGGTTCCTCAGCCGCCGAAATATAAAGGCATTCCTTGGCAAGATGACTCCGCACTAGCAAGAAAGCTGTCTTTCCTCGACGAAATCTTAAGCGATTACGACAACAGAGCCTGGCCCACTTACGGAACTGGTAAGCCAGCCTTGTGCAACTTTCCACAGTTATCACGAAATAATTCTGCCTAAAACGTAAGAATTCTGTTTACTGACATCCATATACGCCGGTTCCTTTACTCAAACAGGCGAAGCCACTAACGTAACCGTCAGTCTGGTTCTTAACAGTATGGGGCCGCTGGAAGAAGCAAACATGGTGAGTAATATACCTACTAATATGCCCTACTCAGTTGGAGATTGACAAAATCGCTCAATAGTGGCCAGAAATTTGGTTTGCTTTCTGAGGTCAGAAATCGAGAAACTAACTAAACAAACTAAACATTTCAATTTTAGCGCATTCCTATGTTTGGCTGATAGCAACTCAATTTTCTTCGCTGTACCTTTACAAACCACTGCGTTCCTTCGGTGAAGTTAACAAAATTAAGTTTCTCTGTGACCAAAATAAAGGAGAGATAGTTTAAAAGCGATGTTTTATATTTTATTTCATTTTAACAACGAGAGCAAGTTCCACGCTTTCACCGTCCTTATCAAGAACACTTGTGCAGTGCAAGCCTCATTAGAGGAATATGATCGTGTTTATAGCTTTGGCTTTGCTCGCACATGATGTAAGACAATCTGCTCGATGACTCATTGATTATATCATAGACTGCGTGGACAGTTTAAATTCCTTTCTCGAGTCGGCAAGTAAAACTTTATAGGAAGCAAATTATCGGGCATTGGACATGCATTCCTGGACAACGTAAGCTGAAATCACCGAACAACTAGTGAGAGGCAGAGATATAATATATTAAATATAGAAGGAAACGACCGATGTTTCTATCTGTTCATTTGAGCGACTCCGAGGCATCTCCGAAGTGTGCCCGGAGGGCACCAATTGCATGCGAGTCTTTAACACAGCTGAGGAACTAGTAGACTATCAGTCACAATGTTAATATCGATCCCAAACTTTTGTTTTCCTTAGTTTTATTTCAAATTTAGTTTCTTATGAACGAAAATAAATGCTTAGGACCAGCTGATTAAATTCAACAGGTAGCCGTAAAAAAAATAGCCATGATATTTATGCTGCATTTCGACCTTTGCTATTCTACCGCTTTCTTTATGAACTTTTGTATTGTGACCACCGATTACACTAGCTTTGATATACATATATCTAGTTATCTGACTGAAGCGGGTGTTCTGACGGCAGGACTACACCGTTGACCTAGACCTCCAGGAGGTTTGGAGAGATGAGCGGCTGGAACTGTACCGTTTCGACTTCAATGACTCCCTCACCATCAACGGAGGCGACATCCTTGATCGAATATGGAAGCCGGACATTTTCTTCGTGAACGCCAAGGAAGCAAGCACGCATGACGTCACGGTACCAAATCAAATGGTCCAGATTGCACTCGATGGAACCGTTACGTTCAGTCTAAGGCAAGAACTGTCTTCCGTACATCAATCTCGTATCCAAATGAGACAAACGAAGCGCATATTTTGTGCGCGGAACTTTTATGCACGCGAAAGATGGAAGCATGGCCAAAACAAAACAAAGCTTGCACTGTGGAAGCGCGCGCATTCTAAGTTCTGTTTCCGATCCAATGTGTACCGTCATGGGGCCGTATATTCAGCACCGCCTGATACGGGTTTAAAGGAACACTGAGAAAGGTATTCACGCTCGCCAAGGTTTTTATTTGTACACGACATATGAGAGTCAAACTATCCAGAATTCCATTTTCGGCTCGAAATTCGTTTTCTTTCCACTCGAAAACCGCCGATCGAGAACTGGACGGTTTGAGTCGCGTGCACCCTCTTCTCCGTGTTAACATGCAGTTTTCTATGGTTTAGACACACACACCAAATATAACCAAAGTCGTAGGATATCGAAGGACACGCTCAATATTAAAAATAAAAAAAATATCCTTCCCGTTTCTTGTGATTCCTAAAAAAACTGAAAATACGTTGATTGAAAGAAAAAAAAAGTTGCACAGGAAGCCGGAAGCACTATGCATTTTCTGTTTAATTCTCAACATGGCGTCGCATTGCGAGAGTCGCGGGCTGGACGGCCGAACGAAGCGGACTAAGCAATGGCGGCGGATGACGGGCCTGCGACCTCTACTTCAGAAGTGTCTTGCGCGGTACCGACGAATCTGTCTAGCTTCGAAAGAGAAATCGTTTACCGATCAAAGCAACTAAAATTTATTCCGTACGACACGCCCGACCACCAAGCTGTTCCGCACGAGGGCGTCGCCGAGTCGTTGCCCTCCCTCTTGGCCGAAGACATCGCACGTCTGAAGAAACACGAATAGTATGAGCTTGAAAAACGCGCTAACGTCAAGCACGAAGTGCTCGACGCTTACGATTTTTGTGCGACGTGCGACGTTCGAGTTTTTCCTCTGCTTCACGCGGACGTAAAAACGAAAGAAAAAAAGAAAACACGGTCGGTTGTAGTCACGTGACCTTCGGAAACTCTCCCCTCCTCTACATGCCTTCTTTCTCCCCAGTTCAGTTTCAGTTTCGGTTTCGAGCAGTTGCATTTTTTGCTTTATTAAAAATAAACGTGACGCTGTAGCTAAATATTGATCGGGTAGTCTTCTGACTCCATATTACATTGCATAGCAAAAAAGAAAACGTGCGTCTGCGTCTGTGTGTGTGTGTGTGTGGGCGGGGGGGGGGGGGGGGGGAGGGTCAGTGTCTTTTTAAGACCCAGAGGTCGCAGCTACACTGCACTGGTCAAATTTCACTCTACAACGAAGAGATCCAGACGGCGTCCTCTTAGTGAAGACTTGTCAAAACCATCATAAAACGAATATGATTTTAACTTTGAAACAAACTATCCTTTGTCAGAACCTCCATAAAAAAAAGTGATTTTTAACTAGTAAACAAAACATACAAGATGAGTTTAGTCGCTTTTACCATGTAAAGCAATTAAATTCCTTTTCCTATCAAGCAGTGTTATTCTTTGACCTTAATGATCCCGCTTTATCAACCCAGGATCACTCTACGGTTGTCCTGCTTGATGAATTTCCAACTCTTCCCGATGGACAGACAAAAATGCAACATCTTCATTCGCCCTTGTGAGTAATATAAAGGTATTTATATGAAATAAATATTAGAAAAATATATAATTTCTCCGTTGAAAAAACTCGTATCGTTTCAGACGCGCACACAGACGACAAAGTCCAACTTTTCTGGCGTGATAAAGAACCGGCACTGTTGCAATTCTCCAACGACATGCCAGAATTTGACCTGATAGACTTCTACAGTGGATCATTCACAAGATATCACCACACAGGTGAGTATGGTAACCGTTTTTTTAATATTCAAACAGAAAACTTCTAGAGAAATTTCACATTCAAATACGCTATGGAAACGTTTAGTGGCTGATGTAATACAACTAGCCTACAAAAAGAACACTGTTGCCGAGCTCCTTTTTACGCGTTAGCCACGCAACATTGAGATATTAGTTAAAAGATGTTAAAACAATTACAAAAAATAGCAGCAGGCGACAGTGCCAAGATAGACTTCCTCATAATTTTAAAGTTGCGAAAGCTACAACGCACTAGCGGATGATTCAGAAATTAGGACAAAGTATTCAAAATATTACTTATTTTGTATTAAAGCTTGACGTAATTTTTTACTTCCTTGTATGGCCACCTATTTGTTTCTCCTGTAGAAATGTTACACGCACAATGCGCCAGAGCCATGCCTGATTTCAGCAGTCATATTTTACACTAAGGCAACTGGGAAAGTAACGCGAAGCTCTCCGTATGATCGGAAATTTGGTCCATAGGTAGGGCAGCTTTCCTTTAATCTCTCCTTACTCGGTGAGCCGCTCCAAATTCGTAGTGGCATGTTTCTTTTAGAGACATTTCTTGTATACCAATATTTGGTCATCCACACACAGGCGACACTAGAGCAGATCCTCGCAGCGTCACATGAGCCGTTCAAAAATAAGTTTCCTTTCTTGAATTGGGCATAAAAAACGATATGATTGTATAGATTTGTGGAGAGATGCATAATTGATAAGATAATTGCATACTTAGAGTAAAATACGCTTTTATTGGCGAGGAATGCTTTCTGTGCAGCGCCGCTCTATAACGATCTTGGCGCGACTGGTTCAAAATGACCCTTACAAAGCTTTAAAAATTTGAAGGACAGAAATGGCCATTACTCTGGCAACAAAGACCGAGCTGCAAATCGCCTTGGCAGGTTTATGTATTCTGTATGATAGTATGTTTTGTGTCTTGCTAGTAGATAGGGAAGGGCGCTACTTTTCCGTGATTTAGTGACTTTAGTTTGCGCCAGTATACAAGTATCAAAAGCAATAATTGAACCTACCACGAATGCTGTGTACGAGCATTCGACAATTGACTAGAAGTGCAAAAATTAATTTTTTTGTGTACGCCTAGAGTATCAAGCATCATGCATTAAATAATTTGTTAGAAGCTGGTGCGTAGTATTCTTTAGCTTCTTTTGAAAACAGAGCTTAAATTGATCTACTGTACCAACTAGCTAGAATCCAGAGATTTAGCAAAACGACGGTGCATTACTCACCAGTTTACAAGCTATGAAGTTTTTCATTATAGCGTTCAAGATATAGTTTTCTGATATGCGCGATATGTACGAAAACACAAATATTTGTCTTTTTAGTGTCCCGACTTCAAAATAAAATAGATTATCTTTTTTATCTCCGTGAAACCAAAACTGTAGTGAAGTGTTCGTATAGCATTTGTAGCCTAATTTTCACATGTTCTAATTGTAGAATAATAATGCCTCCTGAAACTGACAAGTCATATAAGGCTCGCCGGTGAGCCGACAATCAGACCCAACTTTTATTGCATCTTCTCCACACAAAAAAAAATCAGATGTGACCTCACTGTACAGTCAGTCACAAATATTAGGCATAAAAAGGGCTATTAAAGCATCCTATCTCCAGTACAAAGCACATAGATATTTCCGAATAAGCCAATTAGTTACGTACAAAAGTGAGCTAAATGAGACCAGTGGAGGGCGTAGAAATAAAATGGAAATAAGGAATAAGATTAAAAGTCATGACGATGAAGAGGTCGCCACGGAGCACAGAGAATACAGAGTTTGGAACATAGTTGTTAACGCACTGGAGAAAAAAACAAACCAAATGTACTATTTTGTATTTAATATAAAGCACAACGGTCCTTTAAAAAGGCTCCTCAGGTTGAATATTATATTCAATTATTTATTCGAGGAATTGGTACTTTTGCCTAATGTCATGTAGGCAAAACTGCTCCAGCTTGATAATATTCTGAGGGTTTCGAAATGGGTGGTTTAGTGAGGGTTAACGAGAGACATCGTTGGTGTTCGAGCGACGAAAAAGTGCACAAGCTGAGAGAGCGCGCTGTTCGCTCTCGAGCCTCCGCTTCTTCGTCTTCTTTCTAAAAGTGTAATAATGCAATCAATAAACCGATCAATCATTTTTTTAACCTATCGTAATTCTGACTACTCTTACCCTCGTTTCGCAGGCAACTTCAGCAGCCTCAACCTGGTGTTCCTGCTGGAGCGAGATCCCGGCTACTATCTGATCCACATGTACCTGCCCCTCACACTCACGGTCCTGATGTCGTGGCACGCCCTCTGGTTCAAGGTGGAGATCCCACAGGCCCGCATGGTGCTTTCCGTCAACTGCCTGTTCACCGCCGTGACGGTGGCCAACGATGCAAGGTCGTCAATCCCTCGCGTCTCCTACCTCAAAATGGCCGACGTCTGGATCACCGCCTGCATTCTCTTCATCTACGGCCTTATTCTCGTTTCGAGCATGGTCAACTTCATGTCTCGCATGAAACTAAGACCCGTCATCATGCGCAAGGTCGACCAAGGTCTTGGCGACATGTGGCATGTAAGCCTAATTGTGTGCGACAATTTGTTTAAATCTATTCGGCTCTTGATGCACTGGGTGCTTGGGAGAAAATACATAAACTTCCTTTCTCGGGTGAAAAATAAATTACGCTTCGCCGAATTCTGTATCTGTCAAAATGTATCACTAACGGTTGGATTCAAATGCCAAAATTTCTACACATGGTGGTATCATATTCATATATTCTAAGCATTACAAACTACCCCTATGCAAAACGGTGGCTATAGACCCTTTCCGAAATTCAGTCTGGCCACTTTGATCACTATCATCATCTGTGGAACGGCATTTGTGCCCTACGAATGGCGGCCTTCTAGTGACTGATAAAGGAAGACACTGAAGATGCTCCTAAGCGGATATTGCGAGGCCTGTACGTTCGGGGGTCAGTACGAAGCGAAGTAGGGCTGGAACACAAGAGCTACGTAAGCGTTTATTTCTAATTGCTCAGATTCAGTCAATCTGTCGTGGCACACAATCGGCTTTAAAGCACTTTGGTGTATAGAATTTTCTCGAGGCATCTCAGTGGGTTCGAGCTTTGTTCTGAATGCACGTTCTTGGTCACCATCGACCTGAAAGTGATCGAGAAAGAACTCACACTGAACAATTCCTCGCGTGCCGTCGACTTGCGAAAGTGACGGTGCCGATACAAGTTCATTTCCGCCATTGATAGGGCAAAACCTAAACTGCTTTACGAACCACCAGATGGCACTTAATTTCTGAAAGGGTCTATTCCCCGGTATATTTGTGGTCTTTGTTTTCTGTCATTTTCTAGTTAATAACTTGTTAAAATAACGACTGAATTAGAAGACGCTATGTTCTTGAACTTTCCCAACCGCTAGTGTTACCGTCGGGTTGAGACTCGACGTTCGGCGGTGCGTTTATTTCTAAAATGAAAAAAAAAAGCTTTACTTTTACCCAAGGACCGTTGTTTGATTGGTATACATTTTGTAGTCTAATGTGTAGAAATAATGTCGTCACCTTATTATCTATTTTTTTGTCTAGCTTTTTCTAACTAGATTCCATTAATGTTGACGTAAATAAATAACTGGGGTGCAATTATAAAGCTGCAACAGGCTTTTTTTTAGTTATAAAAACAATCACTCAAGAGTGGAGTCATATGTCAATTACTAGTGCCCCTATTAAAAACACAATAATTGGCCCCAGCTTTAGAAACATTATCGACTTTACCTCTCATTCGTTTTTTTTTTTTTGCAATGCAAATGTAGCACTTTTCTTTCTTTGTGGATGAGAAGCGACAGATTTTGTTGATGGAAAAGCTTGGAGCAGCAGCGCCGCGTCCAACAAATTCATCCTGAAGTAAAGAAAACCACGAATCTATCGTCTATTAGCTACCTCATACAATATTCATAAACACTACCACCAATCATTCAATATTGAATATAATATTGCAAATATTGTCGCACAAGATCGAGCGAATAATATGAACAATCCAGAACCAAGTGTTAGGGGGAAAATAAGTAGATATATCAAAGCTCCCACTAACGCACGCTTTTTGTTTTCGCAGGTTTGGAAGCACGGCACCCCGTCGGACGACTTTCTTCTTAAGTTAGACAAAGCTAACAAGCTCGAGCATCACCGCAACCTCAAGCGATCGGAATCCGTTGAGAGGAACGCCCGATATCTGTTCCCAATCTGCTTTATATTTTTTAATATTGTGTACTGGCCTTTCTATGTCAGAAGGACGTATGAGACGCTCTAGAACACAGATACATATCGCAATTATATAATGACCAAATATAAAAAGCTGCTTCTTGGTTTTAAGTTGCGGGATACACTATACATAAAATGCGATAATGATATTTAGCCGGTAAACCTTATATAATAATTTTTTTCATGATTAAAGGGTTGTATTAAAGGCTACTATCTGAAAAAAGTCTACATAACACAAATTGTACCAAATCATATCCTAAATAAAACTCACATACTTCATTGTTTTATTGCATGCTGGGAGTGCAAGCCGGGTAAAAGCTTTCCAACTTTAAATAATAATAGAACTTTATTTCTTTAAAGTGTCTCAAAACTGATGAAGCCTAATGTTTGGCGCACGTTTTCGCATTGTCAATAGATATTAATATTTCAATGCACACAACAATGATAACATGTAAAAATCCAAAATTTCAATTTCACTAATCAAACACTAGGGCAGATATAAACAATCCTGCCAACTTGTCTTAAATATATTGTTACGTTCATATTAAGTCTTGCACTAAGACACGAAGCCAACGGAGTGCTTTTGAAAATTGCGTTTTAATATCAAATGCCATGCTCTTTCGAACACTGAGGCGTTCCTTATCGCCTGGCCGCGCGCGCCCCGCACTTTTTTTGTTTTCTACGAGAGAGGGAAGGGGGGCGGGCGAACGGGCGAAACTGGCGAATTGTCTGGCCTTGTTTCCGCGCTTTTCACGTTGAAGGGCACGACAGCTGCCGCCGCCAAGATGCGCGTTGATAAGAAGCCGAAACCCCATTAAAATGCTCGGCATGCTTTATACTTGTCTAAAATCGTTGATATAGGGGTTATTGATGGTGCCCAGTAAGTTTATAATTGAAACTATGGGCTTAAAATGAACAAATAAAAAGTTACTTTCTAAAATAAAATAAAAACTGTTTTTGAACGTTGTTATTTTTTCTAAATAGGCTCTTGGGCAGACACCAAAACGGAATCAACCTTTTTTTCTGTGCGATGCTTAGTTTCCGCAGGAACGATCGACGTTCTTTTTTTTTTTTTTTTTTCTGACTCGCTCGAGAGCCCGCTTTCTTTCTACTCTTCTTTTTGTCTTTCTTACTGCTACACTCGCCCTCCCCGTCCCCTAGTGGACTGACGGTATTGTCACGGGTCGAGATCTTGTGTCTAAAATTTCGGTGATCGAAGAATGTAGTGCCTAAGGTGGCTACGATGCACCGTGAATGTGACCTTTGTACGATTAGAACTGCGACTGCAGTCTCGTACACGAAATGTCACAGGACCCAGTTGCTGAAGGACTTCACAAGGCCCTATAAAGCGTGGTAAAAAACTTCTCTGCGCGACCTTTCTTTCTAAACGGCGGCGCACCACAACCCAGTCTCCAGACTGTATACGAGTTGGGGGTGAGGCTGGGGCAGTCCGTTCTTGAGTTCGATGCTGAGATTGCAACCATGCCGTCTCGGGCTTTCCTTCTCACGTCCCGCAAACCGTGCTCAGAGCTGCTCGAGAATTATTCGGCTCTCAGTCGCCAAGCAGCATTTGCACCAGCTTCGCCTGGAAGAACTGGCGTGCGTCCGTACACAATTTTAAAAGGAGTGAACGCGGTCGTTGACTGGTCCGCAGTGTTCATGGCAAAGGCAGCGTAAGGCACAAGTTGGTCCCAATTATTGTGTTGGTTGTTGACGTAGCTTGCAAGTATGTCGCTGATAGTACAGTTGGCACGTTCAACGAGACCATTTGTTTGCGGATGATACGGAGCTGCCCGAGCGTGATGGATACCGTGCAGTTCTGTTTCCTTCACAAATTGACGAGAAAGGAAACACGAGGCGCGGTCGCTTACCAGGACCCTAGAAATAACTTGTTGTCGCAGGAATTGAACGACATGGTCGACCGCGGTATTTGGAACTGGTCGTAACTCCAACCATTTGCTAATGTAGTCAATGGCGACCAGAACGTATTTGTTTGCGGATGATACGGAGCTGCCTGAACGTGGTGGATACCGTGCAGTTCTGTTTCCTTGACAAATTGACGAGAAAGGAAACACGAGGCGCGGTCGCTTACGAGGACCCGAACAATAACTTGTTGTCGCAGGAATTGAACGACATGGTCGACCGCGGTATTTGGAACTGGTCGTAACTCCAACCATTTGCTAATGTAGTCAATGGCGACCAGAACGTATTTGTTTGCGGATGATACGGAGCTGCCTGAACGTGGTGGATACCGTGCAGTTCTGTTTCCTTGACAAATTGACGAGAAAGGAAACACGAGGCGCGGTCGCTTACGAGGACCCGAACAATAACTTGTTGTCGCAGGAATTGAACGACATGGTCGACCGCGGTATTTGGAACTGGTCGTAACTCCAACCATTTGCTAATGTAGTCAATGGCGACCAGAACGTATTTGTTTGCGGATGATACGGAGCTGCCTGAACGTGGTGGATACCGTGCAGTTCTGTTTCCTTGACAAATTGACGAGAAAGGAAACACGAGGCGCGGTCGCTTACGAGGACCCGAACAATAACTTGTTGTCGCAGGAATTGAACGACATGGTCGACCGCGGTATTTGGAACTGGTCGTAACTCCAACCATTTGCTAATGTAGTCAATGGCGACCAGAACGTATTTGTTTGCGGATGATACGGAGCTGCCTGAACGTGGTGGATACCGTGCAGTTCTGTTTCCTTGACAAATTGACGAGAAAGGAAACACGAGGCGCGGTCGCTTACGAGGACCCGAACAATAACTTGTTGTCGCAGGAATTGAACGACATGGTCGACCGCGGTATTTGGAACTGGTCGTAACTCCAACCATTTGCTAATGTAGTCAATGGCGACCAGAACGTATTTGTTTGCGGATGATACGGAGCTGCCTGAACGTGGTGGATACCGTGCAGTTCTGTTTCCTTGACAAATTGACGAGAAAGGAAACACGAGGCGCGGTCGCTTACGAGGACCCGAACAATAACTTGTTGTCGCAGGAATTGAACGACATGGTCGACCGCGGTATTTGGAACTGGTCGTAACTCCAACCATTTGCTAATGTAGTCAATGGCGACCAGAACGTATTTGTTTGCGGATGATACGGAGCTGCCTGAACATGGTGGATACCGTGCAGTTCTGTTTCCTTGACAAATTGACGAGAAAGGAAACACGAGGCGCGGTCGCTTACGAGGACCCGAACAATAACTTGTTGTCGCAGGAATTGAACGACATGGTCGACCGCGGTATTTGGAACTGGTCGTAACTCCAACCATTTGCTAATGTAGTCAATGGCGACCAGAACGTATTTGTTTGCGGATGATACGGAGCTGCCTGAACGTGGTGGATACCGTGCAGTTCTGTTTCCTTGACAAATTGACGAGAAAGGAAACACGAGGCGCGGTCGCTTACGAGGACCCGAACAATAACTTGTTGTCGCAGGAATTGAACGACATGGTCGACCGCGGTATTTGGAACTGGTCGTAACTCCAACCATTTGCTAATGTAGTCAATGGCGACCAGAACGTATTTGTTTGCGGATGATACGGAGCTGCCTGAACGTGGTGGATACCGTGCAGTTCTGTTTCCTTGACAAATTGACGAGAAAGGAAACACGAGGCGCGGTCGCTTACGAGGACCCGAACAATAACTTGTTGTCGCAGGAATTGAACGACATGGTCGACCGCGGTATTTGGAACTGGTCGTAACTCCAACCATTTGCTAATGTAGTCAATGGCGACCAGAACGTATTTGTTTGCGGATGATACGGAGCTGCCTGAACGTGGTGGATACCGTGCAGTTCTGTTTCCTTGACAAATTGACGAGAAAGGAAACACGAGGCGCGGTCGCTTACGAGGACCCGAACAATAACTTGTTGTCGCAGGAATTGAACGACATGGTCGACCGCGGTATTTGGAACTGGTCGTAACTCCAACCATTTGCTAATGTAGTCAATGGCGACCAGAACGTATTTGTTTGCGGATGATACGGAGCTGCCTGAACGTGGTGGATACCGTGCAGTTCTGTTTCCTTGACAAATTGACGAGAAAGGAAACACGAGGCGCGGTCGCTTACGAGGACCCGAACAATAACTTGTTGTCGCAGGAATTGAACGACATGGTCGACCGCGGTATTTGGAACTGGTCGTAACTCCACCCATTTTCTAAGGTAGTCAATGGCGACCAGAACGAATTTGTTGCCATCTGGCGTACAAGGAAATGGGCCGAGATGGTCAATGCCAATAATTTCGAATGGTGTTTCGGGGAGTGGAACAGGTTGGACGCCACAGTTGATGTAGGGGTTCGTAGTTTTTCGAGACTGACATTTGACGCAGGACGTGGTGTACTTGGCGACGCCCGTGCGAACTCCTGGCCACCAGTAAAGCTCTATGATCTTCTCAGCAGTTTTATCTCTTCCAAGGTGTCCAGTGGTCAGGTCGTCGTGACAGAGATGAAGTACAGCGGGACGTAATTTCACGGGTACAAAGGTCACCCAACCTTGAGATCCACGATGGCAGAATAGGCCGTGGTGGATACGATTGGCACGGCGTAGTCGTCGCTCTGGTGTATGCGATGGAGGTGACCTAAGTCGCGACACAATGCCTTGAACTTCTGAGTCTTGTCTTTGGCTCTCGGTAAGGTTAAACACAGGAGTGAAAAATTGAACATCTTTGTTGACCTCTTCGGCCGGGGCCACTGGGTTACCAGAGAGGAATCAGCATCTGTGTGTTTCTTCCCGCTACGGTGACGGATTTCGAACTGATATTCTTGAAGTAGTAGAGCCCAGCGAGCGAGTTTAGGAGAAAGGTCACGTTTCGTTTGAATCCACAGTAACGCTGAATTGTCCGTAATGGCCGTGAAATGATGACCATATAAATAAGGCCGAAAGTGTTGGACAGCCCAGATGGGTGCAAGGCATTCCAGTTCTGACGAAGGATACCGTTGTTCCGTATCTGGGAGACGACGACTGGCGTACGCGAAGACTCGCTGAGTTGTTGTCGAGGGGGGCTTTTACAGTAGCACAGCTCCCAGACCATTTCCGCT